ATTTTTTAACGAGCGCTAAAGGTCAGCAACTCGGCTGCGTGTCCCGTCCATCCAGCGGCACCTCTGGAGCTGCAATTTTCCACACTGACTCAGAGGAAAAGCAGCATCACTTACTCAGTTGTCCACTCACACTGTCAAGCCCTCAGTTTATTTTGGAAGTTCTTCCAACCCAAGCCGCCTTTGTTTAATTTGAGGCTGAAGGAGAACAGACCCGCAGGGCGCGGGCAAGAGGAGAGAGGGAAATCACAAGGCAAACACTGAGTCATCGAGGGGAACCAAGAGAGTCCTGCTCCCCATGGTCAGAGGGCCACCAGTGGCTCACTGGGCTGGACCAAATGTTGGGAGTTTGGTGATTCCCATCCGAGACGCCCCCTGAGAGAACTTTCTAAAGGATTGGAAAGATTCAATGAGAAATATCAGGGTAAAAACTTCAGTGCTGACCCAGGAATACCACTAAAAGGTGTGGCAGCTCTTAACTTTACGAAAGGGAATTCCCAGTGCAGGGGCAATTTCTGTTTTTACTTGAAGTCTCTGTACCTTGGAAATTTTTGGGGAGAAAAATCGCTAGGATTGATGCCCTAGAGATAAAATCATGTGCAGGAGATAAGGATCCATGTATCCTGTGCCCCATCCTATGTTCCAGTCTCCTGGAGACAAGATTGTTCATCTTCCCCAAATACCAGAATAAGGCTGGAGCTGGGGAACATATCGACAGCAGAGAAAAAAAACACATCTCCAGCATAAGGGTTCTAAGCTGCTCTGCTGGTGCTGGATCACAATCCCACTTAGTGGGATTAGTTATGGAAAGAGGACTCATTCCCATCCCTGGAAGAGTTCAACCCATGGCACAGGGTTGGAATGAGATGGGCTTTAAGGTCCCTTCCAAACCAAACCATTCCACATTTCTGTGATTCTGTGGGGAGACTTGGGTGAGGGTGGAAGGTATCTCAAAGCAACAGATACTGCCCTGGTGTGAAGAGTCAAGGACAGCAAAGGTTTCCTTTCTCCCTGACTTTCAGAAAGGATTTGGGCACTGTTTGTCACCAGAGGATGTTGCACCCATATGGGAACAAATCCTTCTGCCACAGCTGATCCAGATTTGGGGACACTCCTCTCAGCTGTAGTGGCAGAGACACAGCCAGTCACACTGAAAATCCAAAGGGTGTTCCAGCAACAGGTGACTTTCCATGCTCCAGGAATAGCATCTATATGACTGTTCACCTGTCTTAAGAAAATGCACCAAACCTCCAAATCCACTGACCACAGATCTCTCCTGGCTTTTCCAGAAAGAACTTCAGTTACACAAACAACATTTATCAGTCCACTGAGTGTTTTCTAAACCCAAGTCCTTCTATTTGTTATTCTTGGTTGTTTTTCTTTTCTCTTTATCTACCCGAGCAACGTTACCTTCAGGTCTGTTTTTCTTGCCTATACTTTTTGATCCACTTCTAACTTTTAAAACAATATCTTTCATCGCAGACTTTGAAGGCACAGTTTTCAAATATTTTCTAAATTATAGCCCCAAGAGTTAGGGGGCACATTTCCTGGCACTCCAATCCGTGTGCCAAAACACAGAAAATATGAAATTGTAAAGCGGTGTCTGCGTTTCTCACAAACTCTGATTAATTGAATATATGAAATTAAACCGAGCGAAAGAAATTTCCTCAGAATGCTTTTAAAAGCTTGATAAAAGTTCTCCAGATAATCATTGCTGAACAGCAAATATTGTGTTCCCTTAAAGCACGAGAGGCTACTCTCACCCGTCTTTCCTGCTTGAGCTCTCTGTTGGTCATTAACTGCTCGTGCTGAATAGTTTCTTCCATTATCCAAACTACAGATCCGTCCTCACTAGACAATAGCCAGCTCTGCTGGCAGATGAGTGCATTTGGGATTAGGTATTCTCTATTCTTACAGTTTTACCTAATGGAAACTTGTAACGTGTAGTAAATCAACTTCCAAAAAAAGATACAATATGATGCAAGGAAAAATATCTGATTTTTTTTAGAAAGCAAGCACACTGCATACTCCTCTTTCAGCTTTTCCAATTCTTGAAGTTTTTACTTTGGCACCCACACCACTACTAGAATATATTGGAAGTTAAGTGTTTTAAAAGGATTCAGTAATCTAAATACCTCCCTGAATATTGTCCAAAATGTCTTACTCGGAATCAGCCAAAGTAACTAAAAATATTTCCTTTGACTTCAGTAAAGTTTGGATCAAACTATTAATGTGTGACTGCTTTGCTTGTCTTAGTGTAAAACAGATCTTAATATGGAACATGTTAAAGGAACATCCTGCATTTTCATTCTCCCTTCTTTCTCTTCAGCCTTGCACCTTCCGTGGCTGGGTTTTGTGCTTCATTTGCTTGTGTTTCCCTTGTTCTCTTTGGGCAATGAGAAAGACACAAATTTATCCCACTTATTTCTGGATACTTAGCAGAGGATCTCAAGCCTGGAGCCTCATCATGCCAAAGAAGATCTGTGTTTCTCAGGAGGACAACTTAGTGGATCTAAAGGCTGAAGTCCCTCTCTTTGTCTCTCTTTCTCTGTGAACTAGAGAGGAGCCTATGGAAATGGATTCTCAGCTTGGTCCCTCAGTGCAGGACCTGCAGCTGGGCAGGATAAATCTAAGCTCAGGCATGCAACCCCACCCAGTATCCACTGGGAGCACTGGATGGACACTCACTCCATTAAACTGCTTCCATCCCATTTTTCCTGTTAAAAAAAAACACCTCTCCGAGAGCATGGCAGGGTCAAGACAGAGAACAAAGTCCCACACATCCAAACCCTCTTCCCAACCTTATCAAACAAGCATCTCAGTAGTGAGTCTACACCTCATTTCCCACAAGAAGGGCAGGAAGACAAAGCATCTGGCAGGGATGCCAGCTCTGTCCCTCCCCTCCTTGTCCTCGGGCTAAAAAGCATAACATAAAAGCAACTGTCCGTGGTTTCTCCTTATCCTGTGTTTGCTGAGGGAGGCACCTGGTGCTGGGCTGTGGTTTCAGGATGTGCCCTGTTGAGAACAGCTCTGCACAAGCACAGCTCAGACCCAACTCCCCTCTCAGTTCTCCCCTCCCCAGACACTCCAAGCTTGTCACTGGGAAATGAATGGACTTGCTTTCCCTTCCTCTCTGGTTCTTTCCTGCAAGGGAGAGGAGCAGCTGCTGCCCTCCCCATCCCCAGGGAGGTCTCCTCACTGCTCCTCTAGCCAGAACATTTATAACTAGATGTGAAAGAGAAAAGAAAAAAAAAAGAAAAAAATCAAAATTCTGAGTTTATGACAATGACAAACACTGAGACCAGGGATTTTAGGAACTGTATTAATTCATTGCACAGAAACTGTGGCCAAATTTGTAAAAATTTATATGATGGAGACTTAAACGCTGCCCGGTTTTGCCTTTGTAGCCCGGGGAGTTACTGACCGAGGAGCAAGAAGACTTTTACCCCACTTTACAAATGGCCAGGTTTAGGGCTTTTGGTTAGAGGAAGGAACCAGTCATCAGGATTTTATGGAAGCAAAAGGGAAAGGCCAAGCTTAAGTGCTACCGAAACCAGACCTCCCGTGTTTAATGGCACTTGGACCTCTCGAGGAAACCACTTGGGTGGATCCCCTGTCCCATGTGGTTGAGCTGCTCCCTCTGCCAGCGGTTTCAGAGGAGAAGATCGTGTATCACACACACAGACAGAGCCTTCTGGAGTCAATAAAATTATTTGCTTTTCTTCCCCAAAGTGTTTTGAGTCAACCCATCAGAATTTCCAAGACGGTGGCAGGACGGAATAGCTGCAGGCACCAGGCTCGAGGGAGGAAGGCAGCCAACTCAGAGCAACACCAGGGTGGATGACACTGAGCTGCTCAGGAATCACCTTAACATCAGGTTTTATCATATTTTCAAAAACTGGCTCATCTTCTGAATTAGCTGTAATGCCACAGCATGCAAAAACCATATTAATATTTTGCCTAGGTTATTTCAGAAAATGTACTGTATCTGCAGCTTTATGTCCCAAATATACCTTCAGTTAGATAGATCTTTCAAATTAGCTCAAGTTAAAAGTATTCTGCAAGAAAGGGGCTACAGAAAGTATGTTAAATACCTGTTCTTAAGAGATCAGGTGAAATAAGTGACTAGAAGGCAATTTCCATTTATAGTACTGTGTGTACTGCAGTGGCTGTAGCACTGCCTCTGACAGGGGGATGGTTTCAAGTTTAAAAGTGTATTTAGCCTTTTTTTCTCCTATTATGGTACAACAACAACAGCAAAATGACAACATTTTGAGGAGGAGGAGTTGTGGGCAGGCAGTTTTTAGGCAGCGTGATGTGAGCATCTGGCTGGGAGTGGGATGAAACCTGTAGTCCTGTTACCTGCAGCTGCCTCACACCTTTACACCTGAGAATTCAGAGTTTGTCCCATTTTTACACAGAAATACACAGAAAGGGCAGCTGGGATTGTGTCAGGCAGGATCTGAGCACTCTGCCTAATGCAACAGGTAAAGCTCACAGCTTTGGGGACAGGGTTTCTCTTGCTACACATCTCTCCCTGCTCCCACAGGTTTTCATTGCAGTCATCATCAGGTTACACAAACCATTAATTAGTTATTGAAAATGAACCACATTCACAGAAGCCAAAACAACACTGGTAAATGCTCATTAATCAGCATGTCACCTTAGAGACCCTCAGAATCATGAAAATCAGGCAACTGCCAGAGATTTCAGTGTTAAATTTTTGTCAAGAACCACCTTTCAGCAACTTGGATGTAAAAAACTGAACATAAGCAAAACTCATCCTGACCAGAACGTCCTAAAGCTCCGAAATAGGGGTGGGGAGGAAGGACCATCCCTATGACACAGATCCATCCTGGAATCAGGCAGGGCTGAATTCTCTGCTACAATAAGCAGTTGGCTGCCTGAGGTCACCATCACTCCCCCCCCTACACAGGTTGCAGGTGTTACATTTCTACTTGGAAAAAAAATACAAACAAAAAAAAAAAAAAAAGAAGTAGGAATTAAAAGTTTCTACTCACCGCATTGAGCCCCAGGAGGTTGTTTGGGAGAGAGGAGGTGACTCCTGACAGAATTGCAGTGGCCACCACTGCCCCCAGGCACTGGGCAAGGATGTACATGAGCGCCTTGAAGATGCTGATCTGGCAGCTGAGCAGCAGCCCCAGGGTCACAGCCGGGTTCAGGTGGGCCCCGCTGATGTGGCCCACGCTCTGGGCCATGGTAGCGATGGATAACCCAAAAGCCAGCGAGACCTTCACGTTGTCCTGGGACCTCGTGGATGTTTTGTTGCCCACCACGGGGAAGCTGAAGCCCAGAGCCGAGCCAATGCTGATAAAAATAAAGAGGCTCATGGCAAGGAACTCAGCCACCACTGCCCTCCAGAACATTTTCTTCTTGAACTCACTAGCCATCTTTCCTCTTTCTCTCTCTCCCCTCCTCACTTTCCCTTCTCCCTCTCTCCCTTCCTCTGCCTGATAGTTTTTCCTTTGAGGTCTGAAGAGAAATCTGGAGGAAAAATACAGTCCTTGGATTATTTATAGGGCTTTGGGTGGTCTGTAGGAGGGAAGGGGTGTTGCACAAAAGGAGGAAAGAACATCTACATAGATGCTGACTGCTAGATTGATGTAAGACACTGCTTGCCTGCCAAAGTTTTTTCTTCCTTTTTTTTTTCTTTCCCCTCCCTTACCAGCGTTCGATCTCTGCCGCCGTTTTTAAGAGGCTTTTGAAAATTCCTGGAAAAATCTTTAGGAGAGCCTCAGGAATTTTTTTTTACCCTCTACTTCTTGAACTCCTGTGTCATCATTCAGCACGGGGATTGGAACGAAAGCTTTGATGGGATTTCTGTCTCGAGCCGGACTGAAACAAAAAGCAAAGTTATCTGTGCAGGCTGGCGAGTTATTCACGCTCAGCTTCAGCGGCGGCACAGAACAGCTCAGAGTAGTAAATAAGACTGACAACTAAATCTACACTCTGGGGACTTCAGCACCTCTGTTTCAGCTGGAAACAGGTAGAAATGTCCTTTCTCTTGGCTCTGTGGACTTGGAGGTGTTTTGGATGCCAAGTCGGACGGCTGCACGGACACACTTGCGGATTTACATGGCTCACACGAGCTGGTGTTCACTGAGGAGGGATCAGTTTTAATCTCTGTGTAAAGCTGACATAACACTGAGTGTAAACTGGAAGCTTTCTGTGGATGCAAGTCGGATGCTGAGGGGGAGGTGTTTGTTTTTTCTCTGTTTTTTTTTTCTTACTATTTTATTTTAATTTATGTCATTTCTTCGCTTTTTCTCTCCAAAGCACAGAGGTGTTTCAGGGCTTCCCCAGCCTTCCTCTTCTGACCAGCAGGTTAAAAAAGCCAGTTTGGGGGCTTCCTGCAGTGAAAACATGCGTGTCACCATCCTGCTGAGGGTCAGCTCAGCTGTCCCGGTTGTCACCAGGGAGACTGAGCCACAGGACTGGCCAGAGAAAGGGACAGAGGGGAGAGCAAGGGAGAAGGGAAATTACATGCTTGGTTTTGCAGACAGAATGAATTTCCCGGCAGTGGCAGAGTGTCTCTGAGAGCAAAAGGTCCGAGTGCCTGGTTTATCTCAGCGGGACTTGCACACACGCCTCGGATTAACCCCTGTGCTCTCAGATCTCCGCCCGCCTTAACAGCTGGGGGCACCTTCATCTGTAAACCAGGGCGTTTGCTCCGGCTTCAAACCAAGGAAAATCTGATCCAGAGTCAGGAACTGATTCCCTGGACCCAACTCTTGAAGGATGGGTGTTTAAAATCAGCCCACTTCTCTGCCTCCTCTTTTTTCTCCCTCTTCTTGCTTTAATGCACTGGTAATGTCTTCTAAATTATACTTAAATTAATTCAAGGCTTTTTCATTTGGACAATATGTGGGTAAGAAGAAAAAATCAAACACACACCTGGATAGTATTAGACAGTCAATAAGAGGTTTTAAAATACATTCAGTTTTCAAAAGATGATTCAGTGACAAAGCTGAAAACTGTTTAAACAGGAATCCAGATGTCTGCAGCCTGTCACCCCCAAGTTTTTATTCTTCCTAGGCATCAGATGTTCTTGATTTTCCATATAGCCAACTTTATTTCCTTCTGTTTTATAATGCACTTACACAACAGAACTGCACCAGTGAAAAAAGGAAAAAGCAAAGAAAAGGGGAATACTTCAGTTATTGGGTTTACCCTTCTAATTACAGTGGGACTTCAATGAGGAACCATGTGACAGACAAATCAAAAATCAAATTTAGCCAAATAATGGTAGATGGTAGAATTTTAATATGAGATACAATTGATTCTAGTTGTATCCTTTTCAGTGAAACTTTTTATTTACTGCAAACAGACTCTGAGGCTTGGAGATCTTCAGTGAGCAGATTCTCTGGACCTACCAAACAGGTGCCTGAGACACAGGGCATGTATCACACACCTCAGGGGACTGGACACGGCAAGAGCTCTATGAATAGTTTACAAGAGTTTCCATTTGTCCCAAATTGGCACCTGTGGGATGGAGCTGCCCAGATAGTCAGCCCTATCCACAGGAAATTCCCTCTTTACTCACTTCTTCCTACAATTAGGAACTGGATGACCAAGCAACCTCTGTATCAGTACTGATAAGGTGAGAAAGAATCCCTGAAAGGAAAATTTCTAGAAGCCAGGAAAATAGCCATGGGAAGTACTGCAAAATGGTTCCTTGATTTCTACAGTCTCCTCTAAATATCCCTGACTGGCCTGTACCAGAGACTGGGTACCAGGAAAGCCAGACCTTTAGTCTGACCAGTGTAATATGTGAACAACACACAAATTAAATGTGCCTTAAGAGTAGCAGGTCGGACACTCACCTTGGTGCTGAACTAAAGTCACCTCACACTTGTATTTTCATCCTGGAACTCCTCATCGGTCTCTTCATAACTGTTACCCACCTCTCATTTTGTATTTTGGGACTTGGTGCCACAGTAACTCAATAAAACAATAATTCAGACAGAAAAGAGAAAAAAAAATCTGAAATAAATTAAAGACAGAAACAGTTCCAGGGAATATACACATATACAAGAGATGGGTGGAGCTATTATCCAATTTTTCCATCTATGCTGTGATGTGAAGTAAACCATGATCATCTCTGCTGTGTTGTTACTAATTGCCTGTACAAGGACAATACCCAGGGCCCCTCAGCCTTCAGGTCTGGGCAGAAAGAGCAGAGGCAGACTTGGCCTGTGTGTAGAAGAACCACCAGGAGGGGAAACAGAAGGGGATGAAAACAAAAGAACAAATCTATTGCACAGGAAGTAGAGGGAGTTGTGGACAAAATAAGTTGTACAGCAGCATAAGTGTAATGAGGAAAGAGAAACCATGAGTAGAGAAACCAGTTGGACTTCTTCAGCAATGCCCACCACGACACAGATCTAATTGGTGCTCTACTCATTATGCCACTTTTCCACAAAACAAGCTCCATCCCACATTACTCAGGCTGATGACAAAAACCCCAGTGCTTGGCCAAGTAACCAGAGGCCTCTGAACCCAGAGCCCACAGCCACCAGAAGCCCAAAAAAAAGGACAAACCCTGCACATCAGGTAAGCTGGGATTTGTGCAGACAGCTTTTCTGGGCGTGGTTTTAGTTTGTGCACCAAATCACACTTGAAGGTGGGGTTTGGTTTTTTCTGGAATTAGAGAGAGATGACTGCTAGCCTTATGTAAGTGTTTAGGACATGCAATTAAGAACAGATCTGATGGGAACAAGAGGGAGAAAGTAGCTCTTTAGCTGAGGGGTGTTTCTTCACAGATGATTTAAACCAGTGTACTCCCAACAACTCTTTGATTTAGTTACACTAGAGACAGTTGAGTGAAAAATCAAGCTCACAGGACTGGATATTTAATTGCCAAGATCCCAGGACCAACTCATTTTTCTGTCTGAAATCAATCAGGAGGGCTGTAGCACAAATCTCACTTAACATTTCAGTGAGAAAACAAATGTAGTTGGAGTGGTAGGCTTTGTTCTTTGCTCCCACACGTCAGATTGCTCAGGATCACTGCTTTTTGAACAAGAAACAAATGTCAGTGACTGCAAATTTGGTCTTGGCTAACATGAATTCTTGGGGAATTTCCCTCTTAGGTGAAGGAACAGTCAAAGTTGAAGGGCAGAAAGAATATGTGTCAGTCCAGCAGTCAAACGATTGGAAGAACCAGGGGAAATTCAGCAAACCACAATTATTCTTCTCCTGAGAAGAATTAGTTACCCTGTGGCCCTGCCAGACAAGGCTTTTAGCAGGCAAGCAGCAGTTCCAGGAATACTCCATTTTATACAGTTTCAGAGACAACAGCAATTCCTACTTCTGCCCGTAGACTTTCACCCCTCTGGGGCATCACCAGCTCTCACCTCCGTGGAGAAGAGCAAAACTGTGGAACAGGGAAGAGCTGGAGCATCCATGTAATCTTGCTCCAACATCTCAGAAATGGGAAGGAGCCCAGCATTTCTGTTTGGAATGAGAATGTTTTCCCCTGTGTTCTGTTCAGTGCTCTCCATGCAGAAATTGTAGCTCACAGGTGGGGTTTCCAACAAGAATAATGCCACTGAATTAAACAGATTTGCACCAATATTCAGGAGTTGTTTCTTGGACTCCATTCCTTCTCTGGATAGAAGGAGAACATTTCCATTTTTCTATTGTAAAATGTACAAGGTGGCCATTGAGACAAGGGAAAGACACTTGGGAAAATCTCTGCAAGAGGTCCCTGAGCACAACCAACACCTAAAGCATGAGTAAAGTGCCCAGGAACTGGGAGGGGCTTTAGACTGAATCCCTGGCCTAATTCTCCTAAATCCAGGAAAGATGGAAGATTTCAGACACATCCCCCTCTCCAGCATTTGCTCCCAGCCAGTCTAAGCACCCACTTGCTCCATATGGCAACTGCTGAAAATTCCCTCCTTAGGGACTCAGCTGACTTTGTTCCCTGCATGGAAAGCTCAGAGCCTGCAAAATCCCCCCTTACGGAGCTGGACCCTGGAATTTCTTTGGGATGCTGAACCTGAATTATCGGAAACTCACCTGTGAGGATCAGCAGTTATTTATCAACCACATGAGTCACCTGTTTTCTCTGGGAGACGAGATGGGATGTCACCCTCTAATGAGCAAGATTCAAAGGCATAAAGTTCACATGAATAATTTCCATTTAAGTACTTCCTGATTCAGTGAAATCAAAGCAGGTTCTAAAGACTAAAGTTTTTCCTTTTCTTAGAGACAAAAAGTATCTCTACATTCCTCCATGTTCACCTGGACAACATAATTCTCTTTTTGATGGATTTTGTTTTAATTTTTCACTAGATATGGATACGTTGAGACTCATTTTTATTTTATTTTTTTCCCTCCAGAATAATAAAACTGTAGAAAATTTATCAGTGTATATATGACTGGACAAAATCTGTGGTTGTACAACAAATGAATGAAATTCAATATCAGCAGAGGCAAACCTATTTACACCAATGACCAATTTAGCCCAGATGGACAGAGAAGATGATTAAAAAGTTGTTTTCTCTTGAAGGAGATTTTGAAGGCATCTGAAGAGAAAATCCCTCATGAATGTCCTCAGAGAGTTTG